AGGATGTGACCTCAGAGGAAGGGGAGGTGACTGCTATTACATAAGCCATGCTTTTACTCTTTTTTTTTTTCCTGGTTCATTAGAGGTAGTCTTGGACTTCTCTTCCAGGGCTGGTCTTGAACCTTGATCCTCAGATCTTAGCCTCCTGAGTATCTAGGATTACAAGTATGAGTCACTAGGAGTCACTAGCATGCAGCGCTGACTTTTTGTTGTTCTGTTTTGGTGTGTGAGTAAATATTTTGAGTACTAGAAGTATAAATAAGAAAGGCACAGGAAGTGGTGCCAGGCCCAGAGGTCAAGTCCCACCACTGACAAAAAACCCCACAAAACAGGGCTGGGAAGGTGGCTCAGTGGTAGAGCGCTTGCCTTGCGTGCATGAGGCCCTGGGTTCGATTCCTCAGCACCACATAAGCAAAAAGAAAAAAGCCAAAAGTGATGCTGTGGCTCAAGTGGTAGAGCGCTAGCCTTGAGGTGAAGAGCTCAGGTACAGCACCCAGGCCCAGAGTTCAAGACCCACGACCGACAAAAAAAAAAAAGAAAAGAAAGAAAGGAAGGAAGGAAGGCACCAGTGACTCATGTTTTAATCCTAGCTACTCAGAAAGCTGGGATCTGAGAACTGTGGTTTGAAGCCAGCTTGGGCAGGAAAGTCCTCATGAGATTCATCTCCAAAAACCACCAGAAAACTGGAAATGATGCTATGGCTCAAAGTGGTAGAGCACTAGCCTTGAGTGAAAAAGCTCAGGGACAGAGCTGAGGCCCTGAGCTTAAGCCCCATGATGGACCAATTTTTTTTTAAAAAAAGGACCTGAAAGGTGTACTCAATAGACCCACAGATTTTTTTTTTTGGACTGAAAAACCTGAATAAGGCAACTAAGTCTCCTTCAGTCTGGCTGAAGAAAAATTGCCTGGCCTTCTGAACTACTAAGGTCTTTTTATTATGCAGATAGATTCAGGGTGACCTGGAGGTGGGTGAGTTGGAGGCTGGGAGCAAAGTTACCTTTTTTTTTTTTTTTTGTCAGTTGTGGGGCTTGAAAACTGGGCTGGGGCGCTGTCCCTGCACTCTTCAGCTCAAGGTGAGCGCTCTACCTCTTAAGCCACAGCGCTACTTCTGGTTTTCTAGTGGTTTATTGGAGATCAGAGTATCACCGACTTTTCTGCCCGGGCTGGCTTTGAACTGTGATCCTCAGATCTCAGGCTCCTGAGTAGCTAGGATTACAGGCGTGAGCCACTGGCACCCAGCTGCAACGTTATCTTCAGCAGAGAGTTTCAAGGTCTGGACAGCATCTGCATTCCTTTGGCAGTGATGTCAGCACAGACCTTGGCCTTGGTCTCAGGCTTTCTTCCCAGACCTCTGAGTGCAGGTGCATTTGTTTAGGAGAGAAGTTGATTCTGTGTATAGTGAGGACAGTTCTAAGATACGGCTGTCAAGGGGAAAGGTAAGTGCTTTTAAGTCATTTTCCTTTATGGTGCTGGTACTGGGTCTTGAACTCGGGCTTGAGCACTGTCCCTGAGCTTTTTGGCTCAAAGCTACTTCTCTACCACTTGAGCCACAGCTCCACTTCTGGCTTTTTGGTGCTCCCCCTTGTTGCCAGTCCTGGGGCTTTTAAACTCAAGGTCTGGGTGCTATCCCTGAGTTTTTGTGTTCAAGGCTACTGCTCTACCACTTGAGTCACAGCACCACTTCTGCCTTTTTGGTGGTTAATTGGAGATTAACCTGCACAAACTGGCTGCAAACAGCAATCCTCAGATTTTAGTCTCCAGAGAAGCTAGTATTATAGATGTGAGCCACTGGTGTCCAGATGAAAACTTAAAGAAAAAAAATTGACATGGATCACCATGTTGCCTAGGCTGTTATCAATCTTCTGGGCCTGCTAGACAGATATTATTATTATCATCATCATGATTATCATTATTATTATTTTGGTTGTGGGCCTTGAACTCTGGGCCTAGATGCTGTCCCTCAGTTCTTCAGCTCAAGGCAAGTACTCTACCACGTGAACCACAATGCCACTTCCGGTTTTCTGGTGGTTTATTGGAGGTAAGAGTCTCATGGAGCTGGGCACCCGTGGCTCACACCTGTAATCCTAGCTACTCAGTAGCCTGAGATCTGAGGATCACGGTTCAAAGCCATCCGGGGCAGGAAAGTCCATGAGATTCTTATCTCCAATAAATCACCAGAAAACTGGAAGTGGCACTGTAACTCAAGTGGTAGAGCACTCGCCTTGAGCTGAATAGCTGAGGGACAGTGCTCAGGTCCAGAGTTTAAGCCCCATAACCGACAGAAAAAAAAGTCTCATGGATGTTCCTGTTCGGGCTGGCTTTGAACTGAGATCCTCAGACATAAACCTCTTGGGTAGCTAGGACTGCAGGTGTGAGCCACTGGCGCCTGGCTAGACAGAAATTTTTGTTTGTTTGTTTATATTTATTATTATATAATAATAAAAATCTGGAATTTGCATTGTGATTCAGTGGTACAGTGTTTGGCAGCCTTCCCAGCACCTTCAAAGCACTGGATGTAACCCCTAACATAAAGAAACAAATAAGTTGGGCGCTGGTGGCTCATGCCTATAATTCTAGCTACTCAGGAGGCCGAGATCATGGTTCAAAGCCAGCCTGGGCAAGAAACTCCATGAGACTTATCTCCATTGAACCACTTGCATGAGGCCCTGGGTTCAATTCCTGAGCACCACATAAGCAGAAAAAAGCCAGAAATGGTGCTGTGGCTCAAGTGGTAGAGTGCTAGCCTTGAGCTGAAGAGCTGAGGGACAGTGCCCAGGCCCAGAGTTCAGCCCCCATGACCAGACCCCCCCAAAAAAGAGATCCTGACTTCCATCCTCAGTACCATCACCAAAAAAAATAATTCTAATCTATAGCTGAGTAGTCAGATTCATATAGAATAATTCATAGAGACTAATGCATCCTCCACTACTATAATGTGAACTGCTCTGCTCTGCTCTGCTCTGTCATGTCTTCTCGGTCTGATGGACTGACATCTCTGAAATAGCTAAAACAAATTTTTCTGAGGAGGAAGAAGAACAAGAGGAAGAGGAAGAGGAGGAGGAGTTGTCTGTGGCAGCCACTTAGAGTGAGGTAGAGTTCACACAGCACTCCTGAGGCCCTCAGTTTAATTCCCAACACTGAAAACCCAACAACAAAGATAGACCATGCCTATCAGTGAATGGAGGGGGAGAAGACAGAATGAAGTTATTGTTTACTGGATACAAAGCTCCCATTTTGCAAGATGAAAAAATTTCTGGAGCTGCATGGTGATGATTGCTGCACAATAATGGATATGTATTTAATGACACTGAATTGTATCCTTAAAAATGGCTAGCTACTATTGGGGCTGGGAAGGTGGCTCAGTGGTAGAGCACTTGCCTTGCATGCATGAGGCCCTGGGTTCAATTCCTCAGCACCACATAAGCAAAAAGAAAAAAGCCGGAAGTGGCGCTGTGGCTCAAGTGGTAGAGCGCTAGCGTTGAGCTGAAGAGCTGAGGAACAGTGCCCAGGCCCAGAGTTCAGGCCCCACAACGGGACCCAAAAAACAAAACAAAAACTGGAAATGGTTCTGTGGCTCAAAGTGGTAGAGTGCTTGCAAAAGAGTTTTTTTTGGGGTCCGGTCATGGGGCCTGAACTCTGGGCCTGGGCGCTGTCCCTGTACTCTTCAGCTCAAGGCTAGCACTCTACCACTTGAGCCACAGTGCCACTTCTGCCTTTCTCTGCTAATGTAGTGCTGTGGAATCCGACCCCAAGGCCTCATGCATGCAAGACAAGCACTCTACCACTGAGCCACCTTCCCAGCCCAGGTGGTAGAAACATGTACACCTCTCCCTCCCATCTGTCTTTTTGTTAGTCCTTGGGCTTGAACTCTGAGCAGGGTGGGGCACTGTCCCTCAGCTTCTTTTGTCCAATGCAAGTGCTCTACCACTTTTGCTACAGCTCCATTTTTTTTTTCTTTTTGTTGGTTATAGGGCTTGAACTCTGGGCCTGGGCACTGTCCCCCAGCTCTTCAGCTCAAGAGGAGCGCTCTTCCACTTGAGCCACAGCGCCAATTCTGGTTTTCTAGTGGTTTATTCGAGATAAGATTCTCACAGAGTTTCTTGCCCTGGCTGACTTTGAACTATGATCCTGTGATTTCAACCTCCTGAGTAGCTACGATTATAGGTATGAGCCACCCGTGCCACGCTACATTCTCTTTTGTTCTTTTCATTTTCTCAGTGATTGGGAAGAAAAAAGTATCAAGGCGATTAGACTGTGGGAGGAAATGTTGGAGGTTTGAAATAATTATTTAGGAGGGTAGGAGAGCATATGCAACTGACAAAATGTAGTGTGATTTAGCATTAAGACCCCATTAATGTCAAATTTAAAAAAGTTACTCTCACCTCTAGGTTTTGCTGCAAGTTCAGAATAAATGAAGGTGAGGACTGAAAATGAAGGTGAATACTTTCAACGTGGACAGTAGGATCTAAACTATTTAAAGGAAGGAAGTGAACAGATGAGGGCAGTATGGGCAGTAGTGAAAAAGCACTGTCAATTGATTTTGAGTCTCCGTGCAGTTGAACAATTGGAGTTGGAGTGCTGGAATGCTGAAATACTGCCGGAGGTTGCATTGGAAAAATTTAGATGAATAAATATATGGGGATTGGACTACAGGGATTGTAGACATGCCTCAGTAGTGGAGCCACATAATGAATGTCAGAGAATCAGAAGTAGCTAGGAACGCAGGCGAAAGGCACAGTACGTCTGGAGACGAAAGCGAGTACTCTAATGGGCTACTCTATGTTTAAAGCTCTTCTAATTAAAGGGGATAAGCGGCTTTGAAGGGGGTATCGCCCCTTTAAGGGCTGGCGGATGAGAAGCTAGAGGTGTGATTGGCTGCAGACCTCCGCAGCGAGTCTGCGCAGAAGCGGAGGCGGAGGCAAGGTGGCCGGGCGCCGGGGTGGGGCCTCGCGCTGGGGCGGGGCCTCGGGGGGCGGAGCCTTGCTGGCTTTGGGCTGGGGCTGCGGCTGCGGCTGGGGCTGCGGCTGCGGCTGCTGCAGCAGCGCTGCTCTTCTGAGGGCCTGGAGGCCGAGGCCTGGGTTGAGCCCGGAGCCGCTGCTCGACAGAGCCTCCTGGAGCCCCCGCGCCGGCTGAGCCTGGGGGCGGGCTCGGGTCCGGCCCGTCGCAGCACCCAGGACCGAGGCTGCATGCGCGAGGACCAGGCCGGCGCAGCCATGGTGAGGGAACTAGGCCTGCCGCGGCGTAGCCACCCGGCCGCCCGCCTAACCCCCGCGGGCCTGCCTCTCCCCTGGTGTCCCTCGGGTTCCCGCTTCGCCTCACCCCTCGTTCCCTCACCCTCGGCGTCCAGCTCCTTTTTCCTAGTGCCCCCTGTCCACCTACTGGGCGAACCCCTTTCGGTGACACCCCCTTAATCTCCCAGCCCTTCGGTGACACCCTTTTGTCACCCCCAGTGACAGCCTCCTTTGCGACCCCCCATCATCCTGAACCCTTCTTTCTTTTCTCTATCATTTTGCCTGTTTCCTCAGCTGTGATCTTTAGCGCTTCTCTGTTTCCCTCCCCATGTTTTGCTCCTGTAGTTTGTCCCCCACTCCCTTCACCGATTTCCATCTCCCCTTCTCCCTTTCACCACGTTCCACATTTCCTTGACCCCTTCTCGGATCTCCTAGCCCCTCGGCTCTCCAGCTGCCCTCACTTCCTTCCACCCGCTTTGAGGGCGGGGGCTCAGCAGGAACAATTTGTAAGCGATTGCTTTTCAGGAGCTGTGATCGAGCACACAAACGATTCATAGGATTTCTGCTCTCTCTCTCTCTTTCTTTCCCTCCTTCCCTTCCTCCTTCTCCCCCCTTCCTCCCTCCGCATCTCCCTCTTTTTCGGAGGGTGGAAAGGGGAGAAGGGAGGTAAAGGAAGAGAGTCTGGAAGCTGTGCCGCCTGGTGTCATTGCAAAACCTGAGTGATGACCCTCATGTATGTTGTGACCTTATAAGAATCTAGCCTTTTTGACAGAAGTCTTTAAAAATGCTTTTAAATTTATTTTTATTTTGAGCCTACTTGGATTGGAGATAGGGTTTGGGAATTTTTTTTAATTGCAATTTTGACTGATAATTACTTAGAACAATTGATTTGGTTTTGTTTGGAGGCAGACGAAGGGCATTTGAGGACTGAAAATCAACTTGGCAGTCAGACTGACAATCTATTTAATACCTTCTGAAGGGTTCATTTGTTTTGCCCTTCCTGCCCTTTCTTCAGGGAATCTTTTATTTGCAAATTTTCTTCCTGTTTCAAAATAGATTGTGACTTCAGTTGGTTTTTCATTGCGTTGGATTGCAAGTGTTTTGCAATACATTAAATTGAAAACATGGCTTTATATACAGTAGGTATAATTTTTATCTCTGGGAAGGATAAGACATTTTAGACAAGTAAGTCCTAATAATCATGTTCTCCTAGGTTAGTCACTTGTTTTTCTTTCATCTGATTTTTAGGAAAGTGGTGTATTAACATATCACTTAATCTATAAACATTCCTGACTCATTGACTCCTGTATTTATAGGTTGTTAATCTCTTGTGTCTGTCTCTCTCACTTTTACAACCCACCACAGTCATTGTGTTCTAACCTGTTTCTTCTAGGGAATGCAAGTTCTTGAAGCAATTGTGCCTTATTTATTCCTGTTATTCCAGGAATGAGTGAGTGCTTGATTTCCGTTATGGTCTCATTTTCCTACCAAGTAGTCTCAAACTGTAATTTGAAGCAACTAGTGGACTACAGAGTGAGTTGAGCATTTTAGGATTATTTGTGTGTGTTTGTGCAGATACTGGGGCTTGAACTCTGGGCCTGGATGGTGTCCCTAAGCTCTTTTGCTTAAAGCTAGTGCTCTACTACTCACAGTTCCCCTTCTGGCATTTTGAGGTTAATTGGAGATAAGAGTTTCACAGAGTTTCCTGCTAGGCTGGCTTCAAACTGATTTTCACATCTCAGCCTACTGAGTAGCTAGGATTACAAGTAGGAGCTACTGGCGCCTGGCTGAGCATCTTTTTTTTGGGGGGGGTTTGGTTGTGGGGTTTGAACTCTGAGCCTGGATGCTGTCCCTCAGCTCTTTAGCTGAAGGCTAGTGCTCTACCACTTGAGCCACAGCACCACTTGAGCATCTTATTTTTTATATGAAAAGGAATATAGTAAGAGGTGAGCCATTACATCCAGGACAAAAAGGTAGCATCAAACTTACACATTTTTGGAAATCTACTGAGAAAGAGTATGTGGCTATGAACTTCCCTTTGGGTATTTAGGATCCCAGAGTGTCATTAGAGGTATGAGGAAGAATGTTTTATTGTGAATGGGAGTTGAAAGAGTAGGATGTGTTGTAGGAAGGATTACCTTTATATAATATAGAAAGATGCAGGAGTCAAGAGGTATAGTAAGAAGTGAATCTAGAAAGATAGTTTATTAAATTCTTTTGGGCTGCTAGAACAAAATACCATAAATTGACTATAGACAACAGAAATTTCTCAGAGTGGGCTGGGAAGGTGGCTCAGTGGTAGAGTACTTGCCTTGCATGCATGAGGCCCTGGGTTCGATTTCTCAGCACCACGTAAGCAAAAAGAAAAAAGCTGGAAGTGGCACTGTGGCTCAAGTGGTAGAGCGCTAGCCTTGAGCTGAAGAGCTGAGGGACAGTGCCCAGACCCAGAGTTCAGGCCCCATGACCCGACCCCCCCCCCCCAAAAAAAAATCCTACTTCCCATGTCATCACCTTGGGGGTTAAGAGTTCATTTGGTTTATTTGGGAGAGACAAACGTTCAGGTCTACTAGGCATTGTGTTTCAGACTTTGCATCTAACTAATGTGAATTTACTTGTGAAAACATGTACATAAATGTAGTAAAGAGCACAAAGAGAAAAAAATACCAGGGCTAGGAAGATAGCTCAGTGGTAGAGCGCTTGCCTTGCATGCCTGAGGCCCTAGGTTCCATTCCTCAGCACCACATAAGCAAAAAGAAAAAAAAGCCGGAAGTGGCACTGTGGCTCAAGTGGTAGAGCACTAGCCTTGAGCAGAAGAGCTAAGGACAGCGCCCTGGCCCAGAATTCAGTCCCCACGACCAGACCCCCAAAAAAAAAAAAAAAAAAAGAAAAAAATACCAGTTTATTCTGAGCTTGAATTTATAGAGGCTGTTTTTTTTTTTGTTTGTTTGTTTTGTTTTGTTTTTGGTCAGTCATGGGGCTTGAACTCTAAGCTTGGTTGCTGTCCCTGCGTTCTTCAGCTCAAGACAAGTGCTCTACCGCTTGAGCCACAGCTGCATTTCTGGTCTTCTAGTGGTTTATTGGAGATTAGAGTCTCACAAACTTTCCTGCCCAGACTGGCTTTGAGCCGCAATCCTCAGATCTCAGCCTCCAGAGTAGCTAGGATTATAGGTGTGAGTCACCAGCACCCGGGCTGAGACTGTTTTCTTTTCTTTTCTTTTTTTTTTTACTTTTTTTCGGTTCCGGTCGTGGGGCCTGAACTCTGGGCCTGGGCACTGTCCCTCAGCTCTTCAACTCAAGTCTAGCACGCTACCACTTGAACCATAGCACCACTTTCGGCGGTTTTTTTTCCTGCTTATGTGGTGCTGAGGAATTGAACCCAGGGCCTCATGCATGCAAGGCAAGCGCTCTACCACTGAGTCACCTTCTCAGCCCCTGAGACTGTTTTCTTACTTGTGCAATATGTTTAGTAGACATTTGACAAAATAGAATTGAATGAATACTTACACAATTTTGCTTTTTTTATACTCATTTTTCAAATATTCTGTATTGTTATGAGTAGTTGAGAAGTCTGACACAGGGCTTTCTCAAACTTTGCTGCACATCAGAACCACTTAGAGGGCTTGCTGGCTGCTCCATCTCTAGAGTTTGATTTATTAGGTTTAGATTAGGGCCTGAGAGTTGAACTTCTGACAAGAACCTATGTAATACTTCTTGAACTCTGGGCCTGGGCTCTTCAGCTTTACCATTTGAGCCACAGTGCCACTTCCGGTCTTCTGGTGGTGGAGATAAGAGTCTCAGGGACTATCCTGCCTGGGCTGGCTTTGAATAGTGATCCTCAGATCTCAGCCTTCTGAGTAGCTAGGATCACAGGCATGAGCCATCGGTGCCCTGCCAAAAGATGTTTTTGTTTGTTTGAGACAGGATCTTGCTATGTTGTCCAGGCTGATCTTGCTATGTTGTATTCCTGCCTCAGCCTCTTAAAAACTGAGACCATACCTATTTCTTGTGTGAAATAATTAAAGATTTTGAGGATGGTCATTCTAACTACATTATGAAACAGTTGGGAATGAAGAGCACTTTGTACTAGTCTTTTATCCTTGCTTTGTCATAGTAATGTTTATTTAAGCTGGAGGAAAAAGTATAAGGAAATAATATATGACAATATATCACATCACTTTTTGACTTAGTGAACTTTCCAAAGACAGATTATTGTGTTAGGGGCTGGGAAGGTGGCTCAGTGGTAGAGCGCTTGCCTTGCATGCATGAGACCCTGGGTTCGATTCCTCAGCACCACATAAGCAAAAAGAAAAAAGCCAGAAGTGGCTCTATGGCTCAAGTGGTAGAGCGCTAGCCTTGAGCTGAAGAGCTGAGGGACAGCGCCCAGGCCCAGAGTTCAGGCCCCACCACTGGACCCCCCAAAAAAAAAACAACAACAGATTATTGTGTTATTGGAGAGGTGTAGAATCACTAACAGTGTTACAGTTTTGCCTATCAATCTCTGTTTTTGATATATGCTATCTTTGTGGATTTATGAAAATATCAAAATAAATTATTAAAACTAAAACCCTTCACAGTGTCTCAAAGGTCATATATTAGATAATCAACATTTTAACTCATTAATATTTTGGTTGCTTTTCTTTTTCTTTCAGTGCTTGGGATTGAATTTAGGTCCTGTTTATACTAGGCATGACCTCTAGCCCTGAGTTATGTCTCCAGTGCTTTGGTTGCTAATACCATCTTTATTGCCCTATAATGGCTGAATATAGATTATATTGAGCATTATTTACCATATGAAAAGTACAGTAATCCACAGACACATTTTTTTCACATGTGTGCGTATAAGGAAGCCAGAAGTCAGGTAAGAGCACTCTTGACAGTGTTCTCTTGTAAGGTTGGAGTTCCAGGAGCATGTCTTGGTCATTTTCTGAGTACATGGTATTTGCCTAAGGCTTCAGATATAGAGTGTGTTAGGATATGATGAATAT